GAACCTCAGGAATTGAGAAGCTTTTTGAGTTTCATTAAATGTAATCTGTTGCAGTATAAATTTTTCATGAATCCTCCATAAATCAGCTCTGGGAGAGATGGGTCACAGGTTGGACTCAATATCTTGGAGGTCTTTTCCAACCTCAATGATTCTGTGACTCCTCAGGCTTTGGTGCACCCTTGGCACCACACTGGGAGCAGAAGCCACTGCTGTGGGAACACCAGAGCTGTAGCATGGACCTTGTGCAGCCTGAGCTGCCCCTACTAATGACAGCACAAGAGCCTGGTGAGAACAGCAGAAGAGTCACTAACATCAACGACAGCCTTTACACCAACTCACACTCCATTGCTTTGGCTCTGGCATTTGTTTTTCCAGGCTCTTTGTCCCAATCCAGCCCTACCCCTAGGGCTTCTGGTGCCTGCACCTCATCAATACAGCGTGGGAAGCAGCTGCTGTGGCCGTGCCGAGCTGCCAGCACACACATATGCTGCTAAGGGTCGTTTATTCTTGTTTGTAAAATGTATGGCTGCTCAGAGCTCCCACACTGTCAAAACGGGAAGAACTGGCCCCAAAAATCTCTTGCTGCATGATTGGATCAGACGCCTGTACATCTGTTAGCGCCGTGGGAGCTGTAAAGGGAAATAAGTTGGGCTATAACTCAGAGGCGTCGGTGGCTGCTGCGGCGTGGGGCAGCAGAGCTCCCGCAGGAGCCAAGGCCAGGGAAATGTGCACGAGGCAGCGTTTCCTCAGCCAGGGCACAGAAGGGAGGGGTGGGAGATGGGTGTGAGAATGCTATGCCTCCAGCCCAGGACACTGGCAGAGCCGTGCCCAGATCCATCCCTGGACACTGGCAGAGCTGTGCCCAGATCCATCCCTGGACACTGTGGAAGTGCCATACCCACATCCAGCCCAGGACACTGGCAGAGCCGTGCCCAGATCCATCCCTGGACACTGGCAGAGCTGTGCCCAGATCCATCCCTGGACACTGTGGAAGTGCCATACCCACATCCAGCCCAGGACACTGGCAGAGCCGTGCCCAGATCCATCCCTGGACACTGGCAGAGCTGTGCCCAGATCCATCCCTGGACACTGGCAGAGCTGTGCCCCGATCCATCCCTGGACACTGTGGAAGTGCCATACCCACATCCAGCCCAGGACACTGGCAGAGCCGTGCCCAGATCCATCCCTGGACACTGGCAGAGCTGTGCCCAGATCCATCCCTGGACACTGGCAGAGCTGTGCCCCGATCCATCCCTGGACACTGTGGAAGTGCCATACCCAGATCCAGCCCAGGACACTGTGGAAGTGCCGTGCCCAGATCCATCCCTGGACACTGTGGAAGTGCCATACCCACATCCATCCCAGGACACTGGCAGAGCCATGCCTGGATCCATCCCTGGCCCCGTGCAGCAGCCTGTGCAGGCCTCTCTGCCAGCTCTGCCTTGGCAGCATCTGCTGGGGGGTTCTCTTTGCTGTTCCTGACAGTGCCATATGCCTCCATGTCAAAACAATGGCACTTGCACACTGACTGGGAAAACTCTCCCTCGCTCCCATTCCTGTGGAGCCTGAGTGCCCACGGGGCTGGCCCTGAGCTCCACGGGCACAGCGAGGCAGGGCAGGATTGCTCCAGGGTCAGGAGGGCACTGAAGGGCCACGAGGCCACACAGCACACCTGAAATCGGGGGGAGCTGGAGCAGCAGGAACAGCTCCTCACTCCTTCCAGCAGCTTCCAGAGCCAGGAGAGAAATAGGTATAATATTAACATCAAACCTCAGGGCAGCTCCAGTGGCTGCTCCACTCTCCTGTGCTGGGGGATCCTGCTTGGATTTCCAGCCTGATTCCCTCTTCACCAGTGGTCCCAGTTGGAGCACCACCTGCCCTGGCCTGGCTCACCTCCTCCTGCATCCAAGGAGCACCAATGTCCTCATGAAGGGACCAAGGAACAGCTTCCTGCAGGACCAGGTAGAGCATCTCCAAACATATTCCAGGACACAAGAGCAAATCCTGCTTCAAACAGTACTGTCAGGTCCCTCAACAGCATTTGTACCACCCCATCAGGAGCATCCCACAGATCCAATCTCTCAGGGAGACCTGAGCACAGGAACCAGCAAGGGATTCCCAAGGGAGCAGCAGGCTCCATCCCAGACTGGTTTGGGTTGGAAGGGACCTTAAAGCTCATCCAGTTTCACTCCCTGCCATGGGTAGTCACCTTCCATTAGCCCAGGTTGCTCTATCCAGCCTGGCCTTGAACACTCCCAGGGATGGAGCAGCCACAGCTTCTCTGGGCAGCCTGTGCCAGTGTCTCACCCCCTCTGGAGTAAAGGCAATTCCCTCTGGTTGGTACCAGCACCCCAACACTTCACCCTCCCCTTTGCTAGGGCATCCCACCCAGCACATTCCGTGCCCTAGGAAAGGATGAGGAGACATCCAGCCACCTTACTCATTCCAGCTTTATTTTCTCTGCAGTTCTGACACACAGGGATGGAAGCAAAGTCTCCCCAGCAGTGAGGCTTGGATGGAGAAGATCCTCAATCTCCCGTGGCACATCCATCCCTGCCCTGTACAGCACCAGGTGCAGGCAGGACCCACACACCTTCACCACCTTCTGCTCAGGAAAACAAGTTACAGCCTTCCAGGGACACAAGAATCAGCCACTCCAAAGAAATCCTTGCCCACAGCCACTGGGATTTGCCAGACAATCCCATTTTCACACCAGCTACACAACAGGGAGCAGTGTCAGAACCACAGAGCATTGGGAGTTGGAAGTGACCCACAAGGGTCGAGTCCAACTCACCTCATAGTGCAATATTCCCAGGTTTGGAGGGACACCAAGCTAAGTCTGCAGGAAGGTCTTTCCTAGGAACTGTACTCCTGAGGGATAAGGGAAAAGGGAGCATGGATTCTATCTCAGTGTTCCACAACTTACTTCACTGACCATTGTGCTCTAGTTAGGATCACTCTGGTTCCTAGGGAAAGGAATGGACTTGGGGTGGTATTTAAGCTATGCTGGGTCCAAGGCAGTGCCTAACAACCCTCCCAACTACACAGTCACCAACTGGTTAATGCCAACATGCTCTACAATAAAAAAAAATGACAAAAAAATGTGGTATCGTGTAATTTCTCTGACTCACAGCCCAACATCCTGAGCCCTCTGGATGCAGACATTCCTGTCTGCTCCAACACTGCCCATCACTCCTGTTTAACATCACTGATCTGACAGAGAAAAGGGATCCTGACTTGCTTTCCAGATGCATTTCCAGGCATCAGTGCTAAAAAAAAAGGTTATTTCTCTGAAAACCAGCTGAAGCTCAACAGGAGGAGGAGGCAAAGGTCATGGCTCTGCTTTTGGGTGCTGAGTGTCTCCTGATCCAGCTGAAACGTGGAACGTGGTGGCTGAGGGGATATTCCAGGTGGAGCCCTGTGCTCCTGGGCACAGCTGGGGACAGGGATGCTGTGGGAGGGACAGCGGGTGAGGTAGGGTAGAGGCTGATCTGTGCAGAGCAGGGTGAGGGGCACCAATGCCACAGGGGGGACAGGAAGCACAGGGCAGACTCTGTCAGCCTCTGTGGGAGCTGTTTTGGTGCTGAGGTGAAAAGGAGGAGGT